GGCCGCTGCCGGGCTACCGCGGGTGGGCCGTCAACCAGCCCGTCCCCTGGGGCCGCCGCAGCTGGTTAGGAATCCCCTGAATCCGCCGGCTTCCCCAGGAAAGCCCCTCGTCCTTCTCGGGGGTAACCCTGCGTTTGTTTAGCCGCTGCGCCCCCGCGACGGGCGGGAACTTTGGGAAGGTCGCTCACTGGCCGAGCTGAGAAAAGTTACTTTTTAAATGCAGCATCCGGGGGTGGCTTTGTCATTCCAGATGACAACCCTCGCAGTTTTTTTGGCAATAGAGTCTGGGGATTCTGGGAGTTGTAGTCCCAAACTCTGGCGTGCCAGGAGTTCGCCACCCGCGCGGGGCAAGGCAGGAGAAGTCACTTCCACAAACTCTGCAACAACATATTGCTGTTGTGTCTGTTATTATATATTAAGTCTGCAACTCGGCTTTTAATTAGAAAGCCAGCACAGCAGGGAAAGGAGACTAGAGCGGTTTGTCCTTGAGAGCACAAGTTCTTCTTTTTTCTTTCTTTTCCCCAAAGAGAGAGAGAGAGAGAGAGAGAGCTGCAGACGCACCAGAGGGAATAATACATGCAGATATTTTCAGTGGGAGATATCAAGAATCCAAGACCGCACCAGTTTAGAATGCAGATGGGAAGGGGATGCTGTTTGGAAAGCCTTTCCCCGCACAGAAACCCATGTGCTGAATGTTTGGTAAATCAGGACCTCCGGGAGAAGGCTACGCTCAGCGTTTCTGTTTGATGTGTTAGTTAATTTGCTACCAGCAGGGAGTTGGTGAGGGTCTCCCCAAAGGTTCAAAAAATAGGACAGACACACACACACACACAGAGGCGAAAGTGGTACAGTCAAGATCCCGTGTCTTTCCTCCACCCAAACCTATGCATAATAAACGGCTGGTGCCTCGGAATGAAATTGAAATTTCTTTTTGTACGTAGTATTTGTTACGCAGAAAGAGGATACATTTGGGCTTCTCCCAGTACGACTTGGAAAGGGCCTTCTTTTCACTCAGAAACTCCCAGAAAGCCCCAAGTTAACATGGCTACTGTCTGAATTATCTTTGGAGATTTTAGGATTGGATGGCTCAGTGGTTTAGGCATGTGGCCAGAAGAGCGATTCCCTCCTGTGCCTACAGAGAGAAGAGCCAGCCTGTGTGGCTTTGGGCAAGCTGCGCGGTAGGAGGTACCAGGGCAGCCCCAGAAGGAGGGAATGGGAAGCCATAGAGTGGAGTACTCTGGACTTGGAAAACCCTGAAAAGGGTTGCCATAAATCAGAATTGACTCAACAGCACAGGGCCTTCTTTTCACTCAGAAACTCCCAGAAAGCCCCAAGTTAACATGGCTACTGTCTGAATTATCTTTGGAGATTTTAGGATTGGATGGCTCAGTGGTTTAGGCATGTGGCCAGAAGAGCGATTCCCTCCTGTGCCTACAGAGAGAAGAGCCAGCCTGTGTGGCTTTGGGCAAGCTGTGTGGTAGTAGGTACCAGGGCAGCCCCAGAAGGAGGTACAG